TGTAATTCAGGACGAGTGTTAACAACTCAGCAATCAAAATCTGCAAGAGAATGATGGTAATTTCATAATGGTACTTAAAACTGTAGAATCACGTCGACGAGGATGGGATTCGAACCCACGCGTGCAGAGCACAATGGATTAGCAGTACATCGCCTTAACCACTCAGCCACCTCGTCTACGTACTTATGCACAGCGTAACGAATTTAGCTAGACCAGGTGTTAGACCACATGTGAAAATTACTTACCAATGCTGCGAACATGGTTATATGATAATCGAGATAGAAATGGTAATTCAAGACGAGTGTTAACTGCTCAACAATCAAAATCTGGCAACGAGCATGATTGCAATTTTATTATGGTACTTAAAACTGTAGAAATTGAGTCGACGAGGATGGGATTCGAACTCACGCGCGCAGAGCACAATGGATTAGCAGTCCATCGCCTTAACCACTCGGCCACCTCATCTACGTAATTGTGGACAGCGTAACGAATTTAGCTAGGCCAGGTGTTAGACCACATGTGAAAATTACTTATCAATGCTGCGAACATGGTTATATGATAATCGAGATCGAAATTGTAATTCAGGACGAGTGTTAACAACTCAGCAATCAAAATCTGCAAGAGAATGATGGTAATTTCATAATGGTACTTAAAACTGCAGAATCACGTCGACGAGGATGGGATTCGAACCCACGCATGCAGAGCACAATGGATTAGCAGTCCATCGCCTTAACCACTCAGCCACCTCGTCTACGTACTTATGCACAGCGTAACGAATTTAGCTAGACCAGGTGTTAGACCACATGTGAAAATTACTTACCAATGCTGCGAACATGATTATATGCTAATCGAGATCGAAGTGGTAATTCAAGATGAGTGTTATCTACTCAACATTCAAAATATGCAAAAGCATGATGGTAATTTCATAATGGAACTTAAAAGTGTAGAATCACGTCGACGAGGATGGGATTCGAACCCATGCGTGCAGAACAGAATGGATTAGCAGTCCATCGCCTTACCCACTCGGCCACCTCGTCTACGTACTTATGCACAGCGTAACGAATTTAGCTAGGCCAGGTTTTAGACCACATGTGAAAATTACTTACCAAGCTGCGAACATGGTTATATGATAATCGAGATAGAAATGGTAATTCAAGACGAGTGTTAACTGCTCAACAATCAAAATCTGGCAACGAGCATGATTGCAATTTTATTATGGTACTTAAAACTGTAGAAATTGAGTCGACGAGGATGGGATTCGAACTCACGCGCGCAGAGCACAATGGATTAGCAGTCCATCGCCTTAACCACTCGGCCACCTCATCTACGTAATTGTGGACAGCGTAACGAATTTAGCTAGGCCAGGTGTTAGACCACATGTGAAAATTACTTATCAATGCTGCGAACATGGTTATATGATAATCGAGATCGAAATTGTAATTCAGGACGAGTGTTAACAACTCAGCAATCAAAATATGCAAGAGAATTATGGTAATTTCATAATGGTACTTAAAACTGCAGAATCACGTCGACGAGGATGGGATTCGAACCCACGCATGCAGAGCACAATGGATTAGCAGTCCATCGCCTTAACCACTCAGCCACCTCATCTACGTACTTGTGGACAGCGTAACGAATTTAGCTAGGCCAGGTGTTAGACCACATGTGAAAATTACTTATCAATGCTGCGAACATGGTTATATGCTAATCGAGATCGAAGTGGTAATTCAAGATGAGTGTTATCTACTCAACATTCAAAAGCATGATGGTAATTTCATAATGGAACTTAAAAGTGTAGAATCACGTCGACGAGGATGGGATTCGAACCCATGCGTGCAGAACACAATGGATTAGCAGTCCATCGCCTTAACCACTCGGCCACCTCGTCTACGCACTTATGCACAGCGTAACGAATATAGCTAGGCCAGGTGTTAGACCACATGTGAAAATTACTTACTAATGCTGTGAACATGGTTATATGATAATCGAGATAGAAATGGTAATTCAAGACGAGTGTTAACTGCTCAACAATCAAAATCTGGCAACGAGCATGATTGCAATTTTATTATGGTACTGAAAACTGTAGAAATTGAGTCGATGAGGATGGGATTCGAACCCACGCATGCAGAGCACAATGGATTAGCAGTCCATCGCCTTAACCACTCGGCCACCTCGTCTACGTACTTATGCACGGCGTAACGAATTTAGCTAGACCAGGTGTTAGACCACATGTGAAAATTACTTACTAATGCTGCGAACATGGTTATATGATAATCGAGATAGAAATGGTAATTCAAGACGAGTGTTAACTGCTCAACAATCAAAATCTGGCAACGAGCATGATTGCAATTTTATTATGGTACTTAAAACTGTAGAAATTGAGTCGACGAGGATGGGATTCGAACCCACGCGTGCAGAGCACAATGGATTATCAGTCCATCGCCTTAACCACTCGGCCACCTCATCTACGTAATTGTGGACAGCGTAACGAAATTTAGCTAGGGCCAGGTGTTAAACCACATGTGAAAAATTACTTTACCAAATGCTGCGAACATGGTTAATATGAAAAATCTGAGATAGAAAATGGTAAATTCAAGACGAGTGTTAACTGCTCAACAAATCAAAATCTGGCCACCGAGCATGATTGCAATTTCATTATTGGTACTTAAAACTGTAAGAAATTAAAGTCGACGATGATGGGAATTCGAACCCCACGCGTTGCAGAAGCACCCATGGAATTAGCAGTCCATCGCCTTTACCACTCGGCCACCTCGTCTATGTACTTATTGGACAGCGTAACGAAATTTAGCTAGGCCAGGGGTTAGACCCACATGTGAAAATTACTTACCAATGCTGCGAACATGGTTATATGATAATCGAGATAGAAATGGTAATTCAAGACGAGTGTTAACTGCTCAACAATCAAAATCTGGCACCGAGCATGATTGCAATTTTATTATGGTACTTAAAAACTGTAGAAATTGAGTCGACGAGGATGGGATTCGAACCCACGCGTGCAGAGCACAATGGATTAGCAGTCCATCGCCTTAACCACTCGGCCACCTCATCTACGTAATTGTGGACAGCGTAACTAATTTAGCTAGGCCAGGTGTTAGACCACATGTGAAAATTACTTATCAATGCTGCGAACATGGTTATATGATAATCGAGATCGAAATTATAATTCAGGACGAGTGTTAACTACTCAGCAATCAAAATCTGCAAGAGAATGATGGTAATTTCATAATGGTACTTAAAACTGTAGAATCAGGTCGACGAGGATGGGATTCGTACCCACGCGTGCAGAGCGCAATGGATTAGCAGTCCATCACCTTAACCACTCGGCCACCTCGTCTACGTACATTTGCACAGCGTAACGAATTAAAGCTAGATCAAGGTGTTAGACCACATGTGAAAAATTACTTACCAATGCTGCGAACATGGTTATATGATAATCGAGATAGAAATGGTAATTCAAGACGAGTGTTAACTGCTCAACAATCAAAATCTGGCACCGAGCATGATTGCAATTTTATTATGGTACTTAAAAACTGTTGAAATTAAGTCGACGAGGATGGGATTCGAACCCACGCGTGCAGAGCACAATGGATTAGCAGTCCATCGCCTTAACCACTCGGCCACCTCATCTACGTAATTGTGGACAGCGTAACTAATTTAGCTAGGCCAGGTGTTAGACCACATGTGAAAATTACTTATCAATGCTGCGAACATGGTTATATGATCATCGAGATCGAAATTGTAATTCAGGACGAGTGTTAACTACTCAGCAATCAAAATCTGCAAGAGAATGATGGTAATTTCATAATGGTACTTAAAACTGTAGAATCACGTCGACGAGGATGGGATTCGTATCCACGCGTGCAGAGCACAATGGATTAGCAGTCCATCGCCTTAACCACTCGGCCACCTCGTCTACGTACATTTGCACAGCCTAACGAATTTAGCTAGACCAGGTGTTAGACCACATGTGAAAATTACTTATCAATGCTGCGAACATGGTTATATGATAATCGAGATCGAAATTGTAATTCAAGACGAGTGTTAACAACTCAGCAATCAAAATCTGCAAGAGAATGATGGTAATTTCATAATGGTACTTAAAACTGTAGAATCACGTCGACGAGGATGGGATTCGAACCCACACGTGCAGAGCACAATGGATTAGCAGTCCATCGACTTAACCATTCGCCCACCTCGTCTACGTACTTATGCACAGCATAACGAATTTAGCTAGGCCAGGTGTTAGACCACATGTGAAAATTACTTACCAATGCTGCGAACATGGTTATATGATAATCGAGATAGAAATGGTAATTCAAGACGAGTGTTAACTGCTCAACAATCAAAATCTGGCACCGAGCATGATTGCAATGTTATAATGGTACTTAAAAACTGTAGAAATTAAGTCGACGAGGATGGGATTCGAACCCACGCGTGCAGAGCACAATGGATTAGCAGTCCATCGCCTTAACCACTCGGCCACCTCATCTACGTAATTGTGTACAGCGTAACTAATTTAGCTAGGCCAGGTGTTAGACCACATGTGAAAATTACTTATCAATGCTGCGAACATGGTTATATGATCATCGAGATCGAAATTGTAATTCAGGACGAGTGTTAACTACTCAGCAATCAAAATCTGCAAGAGAATGATGGTAATTTCATAATGGTACTTAAAACTGTAGAATCACGTCGACGAGGATGGGATTCGTACCCACGCGTGCAGAGCACAATGGATTAGCAGTCCATCGCCTTAACCACTCGGCCACCTCGTCTACGTACATTTGCACAGCGTAACGAATTTAGCTAGACCAGGTGTTAGACCACATGTGAAAATTACTTATCAATGCTGCGAACATGGTTATATGATAATCGAGATCGAAATTGTAATTCAAGACGAGTGTTAACAACTCAGCAATCAAAATCTGCAAGAGAATGATGGTAATTTCATAATGGTACTTAAAACTTTAGAATCACGTCGACGAGGATGGGATTCGAACCCACACGTGCAGAGCACAATGTTATTAGCAGTCCATCGCCTTAACCACTCGGCCACCTCATCTACGTAATTGTGGACAGCGTAACGAATTTAGCTAGGCCAGGTGTTAGACCACATGTGAAAATTACTTATCAATGCTGCGAACATGGTTATATGATAATCGAGATCGAAATTGTAATTCAGGACGAGTGTAAACTACTCAGCAATCAAAATCTGCAAGAGAATGATGGTAATTTCATAATGGTACTTAAAACTGTAGAATAACGTCGACGAGGATGGGATTCAAACTCACGCGTGCAGAGCACAATGGAATAGCAGTCCATAGCCTTAACCACTCGGCCACCTCGTCTACGTACTTATGCACAGCGTAACGAATTTAGCTAGGCCAGGTGTTAGACCACATGTGAAAATTACTTACTAATGCTGCGAACATGGTTATATGTTAATCGAGATAGAAATGGTAATTCAAGACGAGTGTTAACTGCTCAACAATCAAAATCTGGCAACGAGCATGAATGCAATTTTATTATGGTACTTAAAACAGTAGAAATTGAGTCGACGAGGATGGGATTCGAACCCACGCGTGCAGAGCACAATGGATTAGCAGTCCATCGCCTTAACCACTCGGCCACCTCGTCTACGTACTTATGCACAGCGTAACGAATTTAGCTAGAGCAGGTGTTAGACCACATGTGAAAATTACTTACCAATGTTGCGAACATGACTATATGCTAATCGAGATCGAAGTGGTAATTCAAGATGAGTGTTATCTACTCAACATTCAAAATATGCAAAAGCATGATGGTAATTTCATAATGGAACTTAAAAGTGTAGAATCACGTCGACGAGGATGGGATTCGAACCCATGCGTGCAGAACAGAATGGATTAGCAGTCCATCGCCTTACCCACTCGGCCACCTCGTCTACGTACTTATGCACAGCGTAACGAATTTAGCTAGGCCAGGTGTTAGACCACATGTGAAAATTACTTACCAATGCTGCGAACATGGTTATATGATAATCGAGATAGAAATGGTAATTCAAGACGAGTGTTAACTGCTCAACAATCAAAATCTGGCAACGAGCATGATTGCAATTTTATTATGGTACTTAAAACTGTAGAAAATTGAGTCGACGAGGATGGGATTCGAACCCACGCGTGCAGAGCACAATGGATTAGCAGTCCATCGCCTTAACCACTCGGCCACCTCGTCTACGCACTTATGCACGGCGTAACGAATTTAGCTAGACCAGGTGTTAGACCACATGTGAAAATTACTTACTAATGCTGCGAACATGGTTATATGATAATCGAGATAGAAATGGTAATTCAAGACGAGTCTTAACTGCTCAACAATCAAAATCTGGCAACGAGCATGATTGCAATTTTATTATGGTACTTAAAACTGTAGAAATTGAGTCGACGAGGATGGGATTCGAACCCACGCGTGCAGAGCACAATGGATTAGCAGTCCATCGCCTTAACCACTCGGCCACCTCATCTACGTAATTGTGGACAGCGTAACGAATTTAGCTAGGCCAGGTGTTAGACCACATGTGAAAATTACTTATCAATGCTGCGAACATGGTTATATGATAATCGAGATCGAAATTGTAATTCAGGACGAGTGTTAACTACTCAGCAAACAAAATCTGCAAGAGAATGATGGTAATTTCATAATGGTACTTAAAACTGTAGAATCACGTCGACGAGGATGGGATTCAAACCCACGCGTGCAGAGCACAATGGATTAGCAGTCCATCGCCTTAACCACTCGGCCACCTCGTCTACGTACATTTGCACAGCGTAACGAATTTAGCTAGATCAGGTGTTAGACCACATGTGAAAATTACTTACCAATGTTGCGAACATGATTATATGCTAATCGAGATCGAAGTGGTAATTCAAGATGAGTGTTATCTACTCAACATTCAAAATATGCAAAAGCATGATGGTAATTTCATAATGGAACTTAAAAGTGTAGAATCACGTCGACGAGGATGGGATTCGAACCCATGCGTGCAGAACAGAATGGATTAGCAGTCCATCGCTTTACCCACTCGGCCACCTCGTCTACGTACTTATGCACAGCGTAACGAATTTAGCTAGGCCAGGGGTTAGACCACATGTGAAAATTACTTACCAATGCTGCGAACATGGTTATATGATAATCGAGATAGAAATGGTAATTCAAGACGAGTGTTAACTGCTCAACAATCAAAATCTGGCACCGAACATGATTGCAATTTTATTATGGTACTTAAAAACTGTAGAAATTAAGTCGACGAGGATGGGATTCGAACCCACGCGTGCAGAGCACAATGGATTAGCAGTCCATCGCCTTAACCACTCGGCCACCTCGTCTATGTACTTATGGACAGCGTAACGAATTTAGCTAGGCCAGGTGTTAGACCACATGTGAAAATTACTTACTAATGCTGCGAACATGGTTATATGATAACCGAGATAGAAATGGTAATTCAAGATGAGTGTTTTCGACTCAACATTCAAAATCTAGCAATGATCATGATTGCAATTTTATTATGGTACTTAAAAACTGTAGAAATTAAGTCGACGAGGATGGGATTCGAAGCCACGCGTGCAGAGCACAATGGATTAGCAGTCCATCGCCTTAACCACTCGGCCACCTCGTCTATGTACTTATGGACAGCGTAACGAATTTAGCTAGGCAAGGTGTTATACCACATGTGAAAATTACTTACTAATGCTGCGAACATGGTTATATGATAATCGAGATAGAAATGGTAATTTAAGACGAGTGTTAACTGCTCAACAATCAAAATCTGGCAATGAGTATGATTGCAATTTTATTATGGTACTTAAAACTGTAGAAATTGAGTCGACGAGGATGGGATTCGAACCCACGCGTGCAGAGCACAATGGATTAGCAGTCCATCGCCTTAACGACTCGGCCACCTCATCTACGTAATTGTGGACAGCGTAACGAATTTAGCTAGGCCAGGTGTTGGACCACATGTGAAAATTACTTATCAATGTTGCGAACATGATTATATGCTAATCGAGATCGAAGTGGTAATTCAAGATGAGTGTTATCTACTCAACATTCAAAATATGCAAAAGCATGATGGTAATTTCATAATGGAACTTAAAAGTGTAGAATCACGTCGACGAGGATGGGATTCGAACCCATGCGTGCAGAACAGAATGGATTATCAGTGCATCGCCTTACCCACTCGGCCACCTCGTCTACGTACTTATGCACAGCGTAACGAATTTAGCTAGGCCAGGTGTTAGACCACATGTGAAAATTACTTACCAATGCTGCGAACATGGTTATATGATAATCGAGATAGAAATGGTAATTCAAGACGAGTGTTAACTGCTCAACAATCAAAATCTAGCAATGAGCATGATTGCAATTTTATTATGGTACTTAAAACTGTGGAAATTGAGTCGACGAGGACGGGATTCGAACCCACGCGTGCAGAGCACAATGGATTAGCAGTCCATCGCCTTAACCACTCGGCCACCTCATCTACGTAATTGTGGACAGCGTAACGAATTTAGCTAGGCCAGGTGTTAGACCACATGTGAAAATTACTTATCAATGTTGCGAACATGATTATATGCTAATCGAGATCGAAGTGGTAATTCAAGATGAGTGTTATCTACTCAACATTCAAAATATGCAAAAGCATGATGGTAATTTCATAATGGAACTTAAAAGTGTAGAATCACGTCGACGAGGATGGGATTCGAACCCATGCGTGCAGAACAGAATGGATTAGCAGTGCATCGCCTTACCCACTCGGCCACCGCGTCTACGTACTTATGCACAGCGTAACGAATTTAGCTAGGCCAGGTGTTAGACCACATGTGAAAATTACTTACCAATGCTGCGAACATGGTTATATGATAATCGAGATAGAAATGGTAATTCAAGACGAGTGTTAACTGCTCAACAATCAAAATCTGGCACCGAGCATGATTGCAATTTTATTATGGTACTCAAAAACTGTAGAAATTGAGTCGACGAGGATGGGATTCGAACACACGCATGCAGAGCACAATGGATTAGCAGTCCATCGCCTTAACCACTCGGCCACCTCGTCTACGTAATTGTGGACAGCGTAACGAATTTAGCTAGGCCAGGTGTTAGACCACATGTGAAAATTACTTATCAATGCTGCGAACATGATTATATGATAATCGAGAACGAAGTGGTAATTCAAGATGAGTGTTATCTACTCAACATTTCAAAATATGCAAAAGCATGATGGTAATTTTCATAATGAACATAAAAAGTGTAGAATCACGTCGACGAGGATGGGATTCGAACCCATTGCGTGCAGAGCACAATGGATTAGCCTTAACCCTCGGCCACCTCATCTACGTATATGTGGACAGCGTAACGAATTAGCTAGACCAGGTGTTAGACCACATGTGAAAAGTACTTATCAATGCTGCGAACATGGTTATATGATAATCGAGATCGAAATTGTAATTCAGGACGAGTGTTAACAAATCAGCAATCAAAATCTGCAAGAGAATGATGGTAATTTCATAATGGTACTTAAAAACTGTAGAATCACGTCGACGAGGATGGGATTTCGAAACCACGCGTGCAGAGCACAATGGATTAGCAGTCCATCGCCTTAACCACTCGGCCACCTCGTCTACGTAATTATGCACAGCGTAACGAATTTAGCTAGGCCAGGTGTTAGACCACATGTGAAAATTACTTACCAATGCTGCGAACATGGTTATATGATAATCGAGGTAGAAATGGTAATTCAAGACGAGTGTTAACTGCTCAACAACCAAAATCTGGCACCGAGCATGATTGCAATTTTATTATGGTACTTAAAAACTGTAGAAATTAAGTCGACGAGGATGGGATTCGAACCCACGCGTGCAGAGCACAATGGATTAGCAGTCCATCGCCTTAACCACTCGGCCACCTCGTCTACGTACTTTTGCACTGCGTAAAAAATTTAGCTAGACCAGGTGTTAGACCACATGTGAAAATTACTTACTAATGCTGCGAACATGGTTATATGATAATCGAGATAGAAATGGT